TTCAAAGCTATACAACTTCTAGAAGGTAAAATGGAAGAAGGCATGAGGTAGCTGTCTTAATGACTTTGTTGGGACAAAATACCCTCAGATAGATGATGCACACACATGGAAGCATTGACAAACACATCTTAAGGGAGAGAGGGTTTATTTTGTTCTAGCACTTAAGAGCATACACAGTTCATCATGGTGAAGCAGGCATGGTTGGAGGATCCTGGGGTTGGCCTGTACCCAACATTGACAGCATAGAAGCACAAAGAGGAAGTGGGCCTGGCGACAAAGCCCCAGTTAGCCACCAGTCATGTACTTCCACCAGCAAGACTCAGTCTCCTCAAGTTTCTACAACCTTTCCAAACAAGGCCACAAGCAAAAATTTGGCCCAGACCACCAAAGGAAAAGGCATACCATGTGTGTTCCCCTTTGCTGTCTGTCCCTGTGATAAACACTGACCAAAAGCAACTTGGAGGAAAAGGTTTATTTGGCTTATACACTATAGTCCATCATTGAGAGAAGCCAAAACAGGATAAGATTTTACTTGTTTGTTAAGCCTGGCTGGCTCAGCTACCTTTTTTATACAGCCCAGGCTGGCCTGCCTAAAGATGATACCAACCACAGTAGGTTGGATCCTTCCACATCAAATTAGCAATCAAGAAAGTGCCTCCCAACATGCCCACAGGCTAAGCTGATGGAAGCAATGCCTTACTTAAGGTTTCCTCTTGCCAAGTGTGTCAAACTGACAACAGATGCTAATTACAATATTCCACCCTTTGAAGATTTCATCACTTTTTCTTTCTTGTTTGTCCCCAATATTTCATGTTAAAACCATCCCATAAAACCCGGTATAACTGTACAAATTTTATAATCTTCTTAAAAAATTCCAATAATGTATCTTTAAAAACTGAAACTTAGCTATCTTTTTTCTTCCAGGAAGGAAGAATCTTTGCACAACTACAATCAAACAACGTAAACCAAAATTCAACAGTGTAAATAGTTCAGTGTCTGCCAGCAGGGGCTCACTCATGAGCTTTTGAGCTCCAAAGGAGCTGGACGTCTCCAACTATGCCATCCGCAGCATGCAGAGAGTGTCTGGTAGGCTCAGGTTGGCTCCATTCCACACCTGCTGCTATCCTTAGTGGAGGTTCCATGATCTTGGAATCTCTAATATTTGAGGGTCTACACTGAAACGGAGGCTGCACCTTCCCCAGTTGTTTCTCTGCTGTCCTCTTCAAAGCCAAAAATCCTGACACATGATACTAAGCCGAGGTTTTGTCCACAGCCCCTTCATGCCTGGGGATTCTAGGACACTCCAACCCTGCCACATGGTACCAAACCTCAGCTGCTTTCCATGGTCCATGTTTTTATGGCCCAACTTTAACCCCTTGGATGGATGTTGATGAATTCTGTCTGGTCTTGAGCATTCCTTGATATAGTTCTTTGGTCCAATGGTTTAGTATAAATTGGCTATTAAAATTCTATTTGTTTGGATGTCCTTTCATATTTCAACACATTCTGTTTATGCTTTTTTATCCCAGACCATTGAGTTTGGTCATTTGTTAGCACTCAATTTTCCTCATTGCCATTCTTCTGTCAATACAAAAACAAAACCCACAACACTCACCTCAAAGGGAAGAAGGAATTATTCTGGAGCTAAATGTGAGTGATCGTGGCCCCAAAACACTAATTCATGCTGCCTCAAAGTCCATTTTCCAACGTGGTGACAGTTTAATTACATTTTTGCAAGCAGCAGAGCCAAGAGACTCACAAATAAATGTACTTTTTAAATACATTAAATAGATAGTTACAACAAAGTAGAAAAAAATGTCTGCTATGGGCTTCAGATGCTGTCTGATGCTATTCATAACTTTTGGTTGGTGGAAATTGGAGTTCTGGTAAGTTAACACATTCCAAAAAGTTTTAATCTGTCAGTCATGGGATGTTAGGTCCCGCCCAGATACCGGCAAGCAATGGTTATTTAGGATACTAAAGATAGTTCAAGGTAAATTGGAATTAGGCTCCAGACTTGCAGCATTCCAACCTCTCTACAGTCATTAGGTCTAACCAGTTAACCAGCTTTACAGAAAGTTTAGTTGATGGTGCAATACCGAAAAAGCCAAGAAAAGAGACATTACTTAAAAGCTACCAGTTAGCATTCTAGACGGTCTTATGATCAATTACATTAACTCAAACTTGAAGGTAGTGATAATTTTTAAAAATTCAAGCAAAGAATCCTCTCTCTCTCTCTCTCTCTCTCTCTCTCTCTCTCTCTCTCTCTCTCTTTCTCTATCTCTTTCTCTGTCTCCCTCCCTCTTCTTCCATCCCTTCCCCTTTCCCCTCTCTCTAACACTAAACTAAGTCCTGGGCGATAGAACAAATTATAGTAGTTGGGCATTTTAAAAATCTTGCTTCATTTTTGTTTATGAGGCAAAGCCAATCTGTCCCTAGAATCTTTAAAAATAATGGAATCATAAAATCTGTAGTCGATTTGCAAGATCACAGATTTTGGAATGCCTGTGAGGATGTGTGTCTCATACATATGTATGGCACAGGCTCCACCTTACGGTGTGCATCCCAAATCCAATCAAAGAGTGTTTTGTTGCTGTTCCTATAAATTGTGCCAATGAATAGGCCTTGCCAGGCCAGCATTGTTCACAGCTCACTGTTCACAACAAGCATCCACATATGAGAGAGAGCATAAAGTTTACATCTGGGTTACCTGGATTGCATCTAACTCTATCTATTTGCCTATTAATTTCATGATTTTGGTTTTCTTAACAGTTGAATAAGGGTCCATTATGCAAACATGCCACATTTTTATTAGGTTATTTTCAGTTTCTGAATGTTGTGAATAGAGCATCCATGAACATAGATATGCAAGCATCTCCATAGTAGGATACAGAGTCCTTTGGGTGGGTGCCTAAAAGTAGTTTAGCTGGATCATGTAATAGATCAGTTTCTAGAATTTGGAAGAACCTCCACACTGATTTCTATAGTGGTTGCATCAGTTCACATTCCCATCAGAACTTAATAGGTTTTCCCCTTTCCTCATACGTACTCCAGCACTTGGAGTTGTTACTGTTTTTTGTTTGTTTGCCTGTTTGTTTGTTTGTTTGTCTTATACATCCTTATTTGAGTAAGAAAATTCTTCAAATAGTTTTGATAGTTTTGGTTTTAATTTCCCTGATTGCTTAATTGAAATGCCCTCTTAATGTTTAATTTTTTAGTTCTTTTTATATTCTGGATACTAACCCTCTCTCATATGTATAACTGACAAATAGTGTCCTGTTCTGCAGGTTGTTGCTTCAATGAATGGTTATATTCTTTGCTGTACAGAAACTAAAATGTTTTCAGGTGATTCCTTTTGTTAATTGTTAGTCTTAATGTCTGTGCTATCCGGACTGTTAAGACAGTCTTTTCTTGTGCCTATGAGTTCAAAGGTATCTCCTACTTTCTCCTCTAGCAGTCTCATGGTTTCAGGTCTTATATGAACCCTTGATCTATTTGGAGTTATATGTAAGTTGAGAGATAAGGACCTAGCTTGGTTCTTCTACATGTGGCTATCCAGTTTGACCAGCACCATTTGTTGAAAATGCTGTTGTTTCTCCCATGCGCATTTATGGTCTCTTAGTAAAAAATCTGTAGTGGGTGGCTGAATGTGAGAGGTTTTATATCTGGATCTTCATTTTTATACATCAATCAGTGTGTCTGGTTTTATGCTATAACTATTAAGATTATAGACTCCTAGATTCATTTAATACTAAAGGTGATAAACACTTTGGTTCAAACTTTTCACCTCAAATTTATACCAACTTCTGCTGGATTTGTAGACTGCAAAGCTGCTGGTTCATGTTCTTCTTCATCTACAATGACAGTTGGGTATTCCAAGTGCCTAAGCTCAAGATTCCAACAACATTCTCAATTCTCCGTTTCTATGTTTCTTAAAACATTTTTTTTCCTGTTTAGATATTCTGAAAACTGTCCTAGGCATTTAAAATTCTCTTTAATATTTTCTAAATGATAAGCATCATGATAAATCATGTCTGCAGGGAAGGTTCAAATGAAGACACCATGCCCTCAGTCCATCATGCTTTCTTGTGTCTGTTTGCCTTCTCACACTTCAAACCTTGCCAGAAACAAGTCTTCATTTCGGGAAAAGATTCTGTAGACACAAGAAAAATAAGCAGTTGGGTTAAGGAGTATGATGACTCATGACATGCTGAGGAGTTTGGACTTGCTAGGTTTTTTTTTTTTTAGGTCGTGATATCTTTTTGATTGTTATAACTTTGGACTAATGTATTACTGTGTGCTGATTTTAAATGTTGTATCTGACAGAAGTCAAAACCCAGAAAATCATGAGATAATAAACATTAACTCACGGTGGCTTAATATATGGGATATAATTCAGAGATTTAATCTTGAGTGGTTTTACTAACTATATCCTTCACTTGAAGATTTTCTTCCTGCCTACTAATCAGGAAGCTTTGCCTATACTAATGAGGAATGAGACTGGGCATGACACTATTTGGCCTCCATACACATTGAACAGGATGATTGGTCAACAGGGTTATTGTCAATTAAAGTTCCCAGTCAGAAGTCATACATATATTAAGGATTCTGCAAAGAAACAGCTCTGTGATGTAGAGGGCTATGCTCCTGAAGGATGCTACCCACTGCAGGATCCCTACGTGGTGCCCAATTCTCCAGGACTTTCCAAAGTTCCAAGAACCTTTGATCCAATGGGATCACTCCTTCCATGTTGCTGGCTTCAGATACTTACCTTTCAGTTTCCATCTCACAGTCTAAGTTAGCCAAAGATGGTAAATGCTGACCTTCCTTCCAATTGCCAGGAAATTGTCTCATGATCTGATGACTACTCAGCATAACAGACATCTTACGTTCATCTCTCATTAGGCATGACCCTGTCTGCTAGACTCCCTACGCCCTATAAAAGGCAGATTGGAGCCTCCTTCACACTAACAGAGTTAGACCAAGTGAGAGAACTCCAGCCTTCACTCCAAAGCCTTTGCCTTCAACATGAAGATCTCTGCAGTGCTTCTGTGCCTGATGCTCATAGCTGTCACTGTCAGCCCAATGAAGCTGGCTGGGTCAGGTAAGGCATCTTCTTTCCTAAACTTAATGGTTTAGCAAGCACTAATGTCTGAGCACAGGCATCCCAGGGCTGCTGCATGATCTGCAGTTTTAAGATGGAGAGACTAAGACTATGGAAGAAGTTAGCAAAAGCCAGTTGTGGCAAAGCTAGGCAGAGAACCAGAAGAAAGTGTTAAGATCACTGAGGCCAGGCCCTGCGATGTCTCATGACACCAACTCTGGGACAAGATGCTACATGCAGCCACTGTAGATACTTCCCTCTCCTTGTTTGAGGAGATGGCCCAGAAGTGTCTCTGTGGTGAGGACATCACAGGCAATAGGAGAGTGATAGGGATGATGTCTTGAAGAAGTGCTTTGGGGTCTTGGTCCAGTGTGGCTTCCAGAACTGTGGCCATATGTGGATACTTGCACATGGAGAGACTTCTTAGATTGAAAATAGGTTAATTCTAAGCCCACAGCAACAAGGTGATGGACAGTGAGTTCTTGGAACTTACTTTCCTGCGTCAGAAATATGGGATCAGTTAATGAGATTTCATTATAAACTGTCATCAGTAAGGAATCCTGTAGTTCAACAGAGGACACTGACTCCTAGAACATATTCTGTCACTAGAATCTAGATAGAGAACTTGGGAACAGTGACTCCTAGGTGCAGGCCAACCCTTATCTTCCCTTATGAAAGCACCCTGAGATGTCCCCTAACCCTCTTTCTTTACAAAATTGCTTTCAGATACGACATCCCTTCCAGTCACGTGCTGTTATAGTGTAACAAATCGTAAGATTCCCCTTCGGATGCTGCAGAGCTACAAGAGAATCAGTAATATCCATTGTCCCCAGGAAGCTGTGATGTAAGTGATCCCTGCCTAGAACACCCAGTCAAAAAGTCAAGGGAGGGTGGTCAGGACACATAGGCAAGTGAGTCAAATAAATATAGCCTCTTATCTGAACGGCTCCTTACCCACATAGGGAAACTGACTGGAGGAGAAGAAATCTGTAATTTTCCAGGAGCTCAGAAGGATTTTCCCCAGTTCCTTAACACAATAGATGAGAAAGTTTCAAGAAGGATAGCAAGATTAGGACTTCCTCCTCAGGGTTCTTCTTCCACCCTTCCTCATCCTCCTCTCCTGCCAAGCAGCTCCTTCATCTCTGGAGCTAGACTGAATGAGGTTTGTCTACCTGTGGGCCATGCCCTGAGCACCACTGAGCATGTTATCTCTCCACAGCTTCCAGACCAAACGGGGTTTTTCTGTCTGTGCAGACCCCACAGAGAAGTGGGTCAATACATACATGAAGATCCTTGACCAGAAGTCTCAAATTCTGCAGCCTTGAACCTTCACACCTGGGTTGAGAGACAGCCAAAGCCGGAATCTTCTCCTAATCTTCGCCCCTAATCTTCTCTGGGCAGAGAGATGTTACAAGTAGATGGTGCCTGGGCTGGGTGTTTCCTTGTCTCTTATATGAGCAACTGAAATAAAAGCTCACATTGATTTGCAAATGTAACATGGACATTTTTATTCAAAATGAAGTGATGGAAAGTTATGACCACTATCAGAGAGCAGCAGGCTGTGTGAGTGAAGATTTTCAATGGTTCCAGTGTATTGTCTGGGTTTCATTTTATGGAGTTAAAGGGAAGGAAGAGCCTTGTTACTAGAGATGTAGTAGGTGATTCTCTAATGGTTGAGATGCTTCAATTACATAAACTGTTGTTCATTGCTCATATCTATTCCCATAATGCATTGGCTTTTTATCATAGGCATGCCCAGTTGTGCACAGGCATAAATAGTAAATAAGGGATTCTTTCTGAAAGTTCACTTGAGGTTACATTTCACCTCATTGTACATGTACCAGAAACTGGTCTCAATCAGCCCCAGACTCTGTTCCAGATTGTACTTGACTAGAAACAAAGCTTACCAAGGGGTTATTAAGCAGAGCGATTTATTTTATAGTTTAAACCCTTTTGCAGTTGAGAGTGATAGATTACTAACAGGTTACTTGCTATATTCTTCAGAGATGGGTGTGTATATAGCCCAAACCAAGTAGAGTCCTGAGTTGCTAAGATATTCCCTATGCTTGCCTGCCTCACCTTCCCCCTGAAAGGCTTTGTTTTCTTAATTTATAGAGAGCTATGTCCTCTATGTCTGACACATTTACATGTGACACACAATAGGAACATTATCAGTATTAATATTAGTCACGATTCTCTAGAGGACCAGAGCCAACAGAATGAAAATCTGTGTGCATGTGCTTGTGCGTGTGTGTGTGTGTGTATTTCCTCAGAAATGTTCTATTTTTCCATGACCTACTTTCCTTAACTGCCTGGTCTCACTTCTGTAGCCATGTTTACATGATTGTCTTTCATTATGTGGATAGAGTAGTCTTTCGGTGGCTGTCTTCCACCAGGGAGTTCAAGAAATCATTAGTTGTTTATCCATATGCCTTGGCAGTTCCAATCTGGTGCAAAAGCCTGGAAGATTCCTGAATGGAAGATTCCTGAAGAACCACTGGTGTTCTTCCCATGGTGAAAGCCCAAAGAAGCTCGTTCTAATATCAGTAAAGTAAACAGCAGCAACAATGTAGATGAACTTGCCAATGAGAGTGAAAGCCAAGTAAGAAAAAAAGGTTTCCTTCTTCCATATCCCTTTATGGGATTACATTGTATCAAGGTGACAATCAAAACTAACATCACAGTATCTAAAGTTAAAATAATCAAGAACATATCATAACCTAAAGAAGAAGGGTGATCAACATCTTAATCAACCAGCACACCTATGTATGTGTCATAGTATTAGTTTTGTTCTCCCAAACTTTGACACATGTTAAAAAGCCCCATTCAGGCCTTGAAACCCAGAAAGTATGCTGAAACTCCTTACAAAACAGGAACAAAGACCTCGGTCACCTGCTCAAGCAGGAATAAAAGCTAAGTCCAAGGGTTCCCAGAAAATCTCCAAGTAAAAGTCTCTGAATGTACTAACCTTGCTTTTTATTTTTTTAATTTAATTTTATCTATTTCTTTATTTTTTTGCTTCTGTAGTTCTGCTTCTTACTAACTGATATGTGCCAACCATGATGTGGGTTCTAAGTATAAAAGACAAAGACCTGTGAGGTCCACAGCTTCACAATTTGGGCAAGTTCCCTGTGCAGTCGCCGACCAGCAAGAAAGACTTCTTTCTCCATTTTATGATTGTCAGTGTGATTGTCTCTGGTGGGCTTACCTCACAGCAGTTTTATCTCATATTGACACAAGCTAAAGTCATTTGCAAAGAGGGAACCTCAGCTGAGATTGGCCTGTGGGAAAGTCTATGGGGCATTTGATTGATGGTTGATGTGGGAGGTCTCAGTTCACTGTGGATGGGACCTCCCCTCTGAACAGGTGATTCTATAAGAAAAGGAGCTGAGCAAGCCAAGGAGAAGGAGACCATAAGCAGCACCATGGTCTCTGCATCAGCTCCTACCTGCACTTCTTCATAGTCTCTGAATCAGTTCATACCTCCAGGTTCCTGCCCTGACTTCCCTCAGTGATGAACTGTTACTTTGAAATGTAAGATAGCTTTGTTTTCAAAACCCTAAAGTAAAGCATTAATCAAACACCTTAATCAAACTGACCCTATGCTTTTCCCCTGAGTCACAGAGTCTTTTCTGACAAAAAGACTTGGTTCCAGGAAGGTTGGAAGCGTGAGTAGGCAAACAGACATAACAAAAGCGTGATGAACTAAGAACACAGTGTCTTCATTCGAACCTTTACTAAATCCAAGACTGGCAGTGTATTTGTCATTTAGATAGCATTAAGAAAATTCCAAACGCCTTGGACAATTTTCAAAACATCTAAATGTGAGAAAAAATAAATATTTAAGATATAGAAAGGATGGGAATTAGAAATTTTGTCAACAGAGTTTTCAACTTAGTTACTTGGGTACCCAACTGTTATTGTAATTGAAAATAAATACCACCTAAATTTTCCAAAGTCTACAAGGGTGTGTCTCTAGCAGAAGTTGGTTCTAATTTGAGGTGAGAAGCATAAAGCTTACTGGGTTTTCTCCTTATAAGTGATGGAACAGAAAATGGCTAGAATATCTGATAAAGTCCTTTCTCTCCAGATGAGGGTTCCTGATGCATGACTTTTCCCAATTGATGAAATCACCTGATTTTCCCTTTTTATTCCTTTAGCTTTCCCTGTTCTGGGAGCTCACTGTAGAAGCTCTGTAACCAATTCTGATTTTTACTTGCAGAAGTATATGTTTTTCTTTTATAAACATGCCTCAGACAGGTTTACTTAATGTTTATAGGTTGCTTAGCATTTTTTTCAATTAGATAGTAGATGTTTGTCAAAAAGAGTAGATATTAGATTTAGAAGGACTGACAGGAATTTCTTGAACTAGAATACTGAAATATTCAGCTGATTCTGACAGTGGATGCTAGTGATCTATTTAATCATCAGACCAGAAGATTGAAGATACAGACACAATGAACATGAGAAACCAGCTCATCGACGTTTTGTTCCCAGAAGCCATTTTGAGCCTGTAGCCAAGTTTAGTTTCTGTTTATGGTAAAACATGAGTTTCTATTTCTCAGAGCTGGGCTGCTCCTTATCCCAATAACCTTGGAATGTACTGTAAACCAACTGCCAGGGCCCACCTGTTCCCACTAATGTTCTATACCTATTTTTCTATGACCTACTTTCCTTAACTACCTGGTCTCACTTCTACAGCCATGCTTACATCTCCTACCCTATAGTTTTGTCCCATAAAAAGAGCTTGAGAAAATAGCTCAGGCTGATCTCATGAACCTCATCTTATGAGCAGACAACTGCTGATTCATCTCTGATATGTACATAAATAAAGCTTGCTTTGATTTGACCATAATTTAGGTAAGTGGTCTTTTTCCTCAGGTCTGTGGGATTAACAAAAGTTTTGTATAATGTACCAAATTTTACAAATAGATTTAAGTATTGGTAATTTAGCAGAAGTATGACAAATCAAATAGTAATAATTCTCTATAATTGAATTCTTTGTATTATTCTAGCATGGTCCTGTAGCAAGGAAAGGCTTGAGCCCCATGGGGAAAGCAAAGAGTATTTGGATAAGATCACCAAGAACACATCTTATGTCTATAATCTTTGTATCTTTTTGATACTTGATGGTATCTTTATGTCTTTTTTTCCTTTAAAGTGGAAATTGCAGAGATTAGTTCCAAACTGTAAAGGAAAAATTATAATTACGTTACAATGGAACAAATTTGGCTTTTGTATGCCTTGATTAGGCTATGTGTGCTTCCAGTGACTGGTTCCTGGCACTGAGTAAATTAGACCCTTTCTAGAACAAGACAAATCTGCCAGGGCAGTGGGTTTTTCGGTACAGTCAATACAAATGCTTCCCTTGTTCTCTGTGACTTAGTTCTCTCCTTCCCCCATGAGAGTTCCTGGGAGTCGCCAGACTGGAGAAGCAGCAAGAGCCTTCACCTGCTGAGCCACCCTGCCAGCTTGTATATGTGTTTTTGAATGCCTTGCACCTGGTCAGATTTCACTGGGCTAGAGAATCCAGCAGCAGGGGATGTCTGTGGATGGAGCCACTCTGCAGGAATGTTGTGGTTTGACTCCACTGTTACTTGGGAGTTTGTGGCCTCAGCCTGTTTCTTTTTTTTTTTTTCATCAAAGTTCTCTTTACCCAAAGTCTCTCCCATGACCTCTTGCAACAGTCCACCAACTCTTTCTCTCTAACTTCAGTTCGATTTTTTTTCTGTGACTGAATTCTCAAGCCCAGGATGGCATCTTATGAGCAAAAGCAGACTTCTGAGGAAAACTGGATGCCTATGTCTACATCCACTTAGAGATTTTTCTGAGAATAACCCTGACACATCTACCCTGAGGGTAGTGAGTGTTATGAAAAGCAAATAGACAGGACTTTTCTGAGCTTCCAAGAAAATAAATAGGTCAGGGGTCAGGGTGTGGAGCTCCAAGCAGCTAAACACTGAAAAGACAGAGGAATTGGGGATGGAAATTAGGAATAAAAGGTTATATTGTGGCTTTAGGGGTCCTTAAACTTGGAGTGGTAAATATTCAGGTCCTAAGGCCCCAGTAAGTATTCTGAAGTAGCAGGTGACAGTAACACACTTAGAGAAGCAGTAGGGAAAGTTGCCTAATCTGGGTACAGGATTATAGTGGTGCAGTAAGATCACTAGGGCCTAAGCAGTGAGCCAGCACAATTGCATTCTTAATAATAGGCTAGACAGAGCAATGGCTTGTGTAGTACTGTAGTAACAACAAACTCTGGGTATAGACTCAACTTTCTACAGTGGCATAAAGGAAGTATTCAAAGGGTTTTGAGACTCAGAATTAATTTATTTTCCTTATGATCTCAAAGCCTGTACTCCTCCCAGATTCATGCTGGAATCTAGTTCTACCATCTTGGGACATTTGTGCTGAGGGTACATCAAGCACTTTATCTACTGAGCCATCTCTCTGGCCTTCACAGTAGACTCTTAAAGTTAAGCTTACCCTGCATTCC